ATAATTCTACAATTCTATTATTATACAATTCTGTATTTACTGCACAAAAAAGTATTGTTAGTTTTTTAGTAGAGAATCTTCGAATTTCTACTCTTCTCTAGCCAAATGTCGTCGAGTGCAAAGGGTTCATAAAAAGTATAGCATAATATATATATTTTTAATATTTTCATGTTATATATCCTATTGTATATTTCTATTTCAGTGCCTATTCCATTAAATTATGTCATTTCACTTCAAATGAGCTAATTGTACTTCTTATTTTGTGATTCAAGCATATGCAGAAGTAGGGAAAATTAAAAATGTATACAAAGAAATATAAAAGGAGGGATATTTGAAAAACCTTGAATGGAATTACGGAATAGAATTCCGTAAATTAACCTTAATGCAATTTGAATAGGATTCGAATTGAATTATGCAAAATTATGTTATACTGGAATAATCGTATCTCCCGTCTTAATCTGATTAGGCTATGACGCTAGTATTTCGCTCGAACTAGGTTGAAAAGCTATGCACGAAATAATTAAGAAATCGGTTTAATTGGAGCCAGAACTGTATCTTTATCCCTACTCGTTTTTAATAACACTAATGTGCCGAAAACACGCGTCTATTAGTATAATTACATTCGGAAAAATTGATACACACCTAGTTTTTACACGATCAACCCGAAGAACCGAAGACGAATATTAACCTGCCAAAAGCAGCTGCATATTTTAAGTAACTGCAAAAATGAAAAGCCTGAAACAAGTCACTTTAATCCCTTTGATAATTATATTGTTAAATTTAACCATAATTGTATATTAATTATTCGAGGACCAAATTTATTTACAAAAATCGGTCAGAAATTCCCGAATTCTTCCACTGTCTATTTACCAATTATAACTGATTGCGATGCTCAATAACCTATCAAGATGATAATTCGAAAATGGGTAGATATTTCAGAAGAGAGTAATAAAACAAAATAGGGTTCCTCGCAGGAAGCAAAAATAAACTAGAAACTTCAACCACGAAACAACCCCTTTCTTCTAAAAATTCCAATATTGTATCTAAGTACTTATTTAACCCTTTTAGTGTCGGATGACAATACATCGTCGTTCGCTACACTTGCGAAAAGTGCCAACGACAATGTATCGTTACGTATGCGATGGCGCCTTATTCTTCGCATTGTGAGAAAGTTCTGTCTCAAAATAAATTTGTAAAACGTTATAAACGGTATAATTTCGTTGCAAAAGAATTTAAAAAATTGTTTTTGGATTTAACTTCCTGTTATATTCTATGCTGGTTGGTGCCGAGGCTCTGTATACGCTAGAACGATAAGGTAGGAACTCGACACGGGATAGTTTCTTGGGACCGTAATCGCAATACGTTTATATCGGTTATATTAATAACCGATATTGATTATTTTACTACAAATGATTGAAAATGTAATACTTATACCTCATACTACGCGACCTACGTAAAACTACGATCAAACGATGATTATTCTTACGTGCAAATATTGTTTGCAGAAGAGAAACTTGTTTCTATGTTTTTCATCGTGTTTTATATCGATGTCATTCGTATGATTTTCAATAAATATTGAAATACAATTAGCATTACATTATTCTCCCTTCCTTCCGTGATACGCTGCATTTTGAATTTTTTAAATATCATTCTTAGCTTGGTTTTTATGAGCTTTCTCCCAAACCTTAGTAAATTCGTCAAATTCGTCCGGTTATCTTCGCATAGGCACTCATTCTTCGCTCGGTACTTAAATAATTAATCCTCTTCTTTGACAATTTTCATTTCGCTGTTCACTCGATATAGGAACAGACGTCCAATCCTACCCTAAATGAGCGACTCGATCAGAAATTTCTATCAAATTACGAATCTTTGCAGCTTTCCTATTTAATTGCAATGTCACGTGTGGCACGACTCGAAAATTCGCGTGCGAAAAATCGACAGCAAGGACGATCTTGTCCGATCCTGTGCGGAATAATCTCCTTCATCTCCTCGCGCTTCGAAAAAGGAACTCTGCCCCGTGACAAGTTCATTTACATGTAAAAAGTAAGCGCAAGGATGATGTATCATTTTGTTTTATCACTGCACTTTATGTGCAGCGCGCGTCGCGTTATAAATTTCGTTACATTTTTAATGAATGGTCGTTGAAGATGCTAACAGAGTGAAGCGAGTTCACAGAGATCGCCATTTGTCATCGACGAAAAAGGATTCGAGAGACACCTCGGTGAAGGAAATAATTTGAATAGTGGTTCGTAGATGACGGAGATACGATTTTGACAGTGGATGGAAATGAAATGGATATTCGCAAAGGTAGTAATTGTGTGTTTAATTCTGATTGTCGGTGAGATTGAAATTTCGCCTTGTTATTTCGCGGCTGGAATAAAATGGATATTTTGTACGAATGACGCACGGCAATCTGCAATATAAGATCTTCACAATTTATGATTCCTTTTTAAATGTACAGAGTGGGTTATCTAACGTTCATTATTTCCAATTATTTGATTATCGAACCGATAAAAAGCTATTTCGTAGCAAAGATAGAACGTCGAAGATTTTTCAGAATAACGTCACGTGATTTTTGTTAAATTAACGGTAATATGTATGCTAATGTAATTGTTTGCGTTAGACCATGCAACGTAACCGTGATTTCAATACAAATGTATTTTATTGTTATTCAGCCTTAATTTTATTTCGTTCGTAACAGCATAGTCCATCGTTTAATCATAATTTCCCCAGTTGTTCTCCCTCTTCGACCATAATTATACTTTCCACTATATAACAATGTATTTGTACCGTTGTGAATAAATAAATAATTATTTTCAAATATTAATGAAAGGAGCAAGTAACAATTTATTGCTCAAAGTTTATATTTTCGAAAGATAAAATAAAATAAAATATCTTAAATATAATAAAATAAATATATTTATAGATAATAGTATAATAGAGAATAGAGAATAGTATAATAAATTCCAATGTTATTCCAGTCACAATTATTTGACTGAACAAACGGATTTTCATACTCCCGTGTTAAAAATATAAAACAAGCTGAAACTTCGCTTATTAAAAAGAGCGTAATTAAAACGTCACCTGCTACTAGCAAAGACTATTCGAGCTAAAAATGAAGAACTGTAATTAAGTTGGCCCAATTATATGTTTCGTGTTCGTGGTGGAAAAAGGTCAGTACGGAAAAAGAACTTCGACGAAGACAAACACAACTGTGCCGAATTATAATTTAATCGTTTCATTTGCAACGTAACCACGCCACACGCGAACCGTTATATCGATGGTTTTATCGGTGAAAGATGCGAAGTAACGTTCCCTAATGGAAATAATTTTTCTGCCAAGTATTTTTACGAGACCAGGAAAACGCCAGGCAAAGTCATAAATAATATTCGTTTCCGGGCTTCCGTTTCTTTCCCACTGAAACTTTAAAGCACGATTCATTACACGTGTTGCTCAACACGTTTACGTATCAGATTTATTATACCGAACGAGCATTAAACTTTTCTAATCCTCTAAACTCCAATTTATCGACGAAATAACTTCGAAACGCGTTTATTTTTCTTAGAAAAATAAGCACTCGAGGAATCGTTTAATAGACGATGATAACGACTGTAAAATATCGTTCATATCAAATATTAATTATGTTCCTCTTATGCTATTTTAAGATGGAGGAAAGTAAATAAACTTCAGCTTCGAGACGAAAGATGAAATATTTCGCGTTAAAATTGATTAAATGGAAGAAAATTTTTGTATGCCCATATGGATTATATGGATTATAACTGGATTATAGTACATAAATTGAACGATTTTTTAAAGTTTCTTCAATGCTCAAGGAATATTTGTTCAAGATATTGAAGACACGCTTCACAGTTTTGCCATTTAAACCACAACCTCGATGCATACATTAGAATCTATACATACTAGTATCCTATATTTAAACTCAACGGCAGGCAGGTATACATTTCCACGATTCGTCGTACCTAAAAATAGGCAAATATATAAATACGTGAGAAAAGTTTAAGTACCCTGACCACGGTTTGCCATTCATCGAATTGCACAAATATATAAATATCCAACGAAAAAAGGATGAAATAACTGCACATTTCTGCGATTCTATGAGTAAAAATTCAAAATTCACAAATTCACCAACATGAAACAGAAAATCAAGTATTTCCTTAGTAAGGAAAAACGAAATATCTCCAATTGTAATTGTAAATATTACAAATTTGCAAATACGCGAATACTAAGAAGAAATACAGCGAGTATTCTGTCTACGATTCCTCATATCTATGAATTCCCAAATTCAAGAATACGTAACAAGAGCCCGACTAAATAATCCAAAAATACTGAAATACGTAACAGGAAACCAATTAAACACTCGTTTTCACGATTCCCCGTAATACCTAAAAATTTACAAACAAATAAACATGAAAAAAAAATTGGACCAAAGCTAGATTCAAAAATTCGCAAATACCGAAATGAATAAGAAAAATCCAATGAAATACTATTTTCCACGATTGGCCGCAATTTTTACGCATTTACAAATAAGCGAACGCTAAACACACCTTCGATTATACGAATATTTCCGCTTTTCTATTCACGAAAATCCGCAAATCTCCGGATAGGAAGGAAAAATTCAGAAGCGAATCATAAATCCGTCTAGATCGCTCGATAGGGCCAACGGAAACGATTCGAGTGTTTCACAGAAAGCTAAGCCCCGATGGAGCTGCACGAGTAGAGGATCTCGAGTCTGGATTCTTAAACGGCGGAATGGAGGAAAAATCGGCCGATATCGAGTACCGTCCGTGGGTCTAGAGGACCGGGCGTTTGACGAACGAAACAGAACGAACGCGCGGCTTGGCCAGGAGAGGAGCCTGAAAAATGGCAGGAGATCGAGAAAGTATGCGGCACACGGGCGAAGCGCGAGTCCGGATCGAAAGCTCGCCTCGTACCTTGACGTCGAGCGGAATGGAAGCGGCGGCTTCAGTCGCTCGCGAACCTCCACCGTGGAAGCTTCTCTCCGTGTCCATCTGGTCGCGCCTCTGCATCCGACTCGGCCACGATCGCGCCAAAACCGAGTCGATCTTCGTCGACGCGTCGAATAATCCCTTTCTTCCGTGAATTTCTCCGGAAAATTGCAATTCTTCCGTCTCCGGCCTGCGGGACAACAGGTCTCGATGCGTGGACCAAAGTGTGACATGTGAACGAGGATGTGGATGATTCTGTTTACTCCGTTTTATCTGTGCATCGACGAATTCGGAGAGTAAATCAGCGACTGCGAGCAGGTGCGGAGAAACCATGCGGAGGTGTTTGCTTCTGGTTCTTTGTGCCGCAGGTAATGACGAGCCGAGCGACTTTAATTCGCCGCCGTGATTTACGCGAGAAATATCGAGTGAAAGGAGATTGGATGGGTGGAGAGATCGATGAAGGCGGGAATAAATCTTTCCCGCGGATTTTACGATCGCTGCTCGATTTTGCCTTTTCGGGTAGGCTGGTCCATGATGGATCGAGCGTCACGAAATTTGTCGCAGAGCTTTAGTCCCGGAAGTTCACCCTGGCGAGTGTGTTTACGAGCTGTCAGTCGCGAGAAGTCCCTAAAATCGAATACCTCGAGACGATCTTCCGGAGACCAATTATCGAATCGCAAACAGCAAAAGGAATACACGTACCTTCGAATATATGTACCTGTACCGAACGCGAAGGGGAACGTTAAAGAGAAGCTGATAATCACGAGTACTCGTACTCGTTTGGAACATCCCATTTAGATAATCCCATCGACACCGTCGTTCTTTGATATTCAAAAGGGAATCTCCGTTAGGGGTAAAATAGAATAAAAATAAAGTGGAACGAAAAAAGTGGGAAGGAATATCGGTTTCTATTCGGCGGAACGAGAACGAGGGATAAAACGTTGAAATATTGCCAGCATAAATTGAATTAAAGGCTCGTGTGAAAATAACGCGGAAAAACGCGATAACAGGAAAGGATTCTTGAAATAGAGATTGATAAAAGCACGGTAAATAACTTGATTCACGATCGCGAAACCGGCTCGTTTATCACTTAAACAATTCGCCTGGAGAATTTTGTCGACACGTACGAATAGAAACCACTCCGGCATGACAAACGAGAGCCGGTTCGGTCCATTCTATTTTCCTTCCACCATGGAAGATTAAAAATTTATAACGCCAGACGTTTCCTCGCCAAGATACCCTCGCTTTTCCTCCGCTTTTCTACCATCTAGTCTACCGTCAAACTCGTACGAGCGAAAGAAAAGCGAAGAGAAATAAACAAATAAAATTAAGAAAAGGAAAAGAGGGGAGAAGATAAAACAGAGACATGGTAGAACGATTTTCAACGTCGGAAATCGCTATGGCGGAACGATTAAAGCGTACGATAAAACGATTTGCATAATAAAACGTCGCGATGTGCAAGTCATTAAACGCGGTATTTGCCAAACGTGAGTATCGTTGGATACGCACTCATGTTAAAGTAAGGCAGAAATAATCGTTACTAATGGCGCTCTTGAAAGAAACCAGGCGACTTGATAACGCGCCTCGAGATTTCTATCTCCTTGACTGAACAACTCCAGAGATAATAAAGAGGAAGCGATGATATAATCGATGTCACGCTTCGTCGTTAAGTATTTAGCGCGTAAAAGTTGAAAAATTAGCACACCGATAATTAGGATTTTACATGTAACATAAGAAAACTCCACAACTTTATAATGGAAATTAAGAAAAATATTACATATCCCATCTTACACGTTTCTTTAAAAAGTGGATTTTTGAAATTTTTTTAATTTTCGTTAACTCCATCTTTAATTAATTATTTATTAATCGAATTATTTTCCATTGCCGAATTATTAATCCTATTATTTTTAACACGTGACTTTGATTTTTCCTATTGAATGGAAGACAGACAAAATGTGTCAATCTAGTATATGTCCAAATCTATGAAAAATTTGATTTCTGTCTGCTTGCAAAGAAATTTTTTTAATTTTCGTTAACTCTATCTTTAATTAATTATTTATTAATCGAATTATTTTCCATTGCCGAATTATTAATCCTATTATTTTTAACACGTGACTTTAATTTTTCCTATTGAAAGGAAGACACAGACAAAATGTGTCAATCTAGTATATGTCCATATCTATGAAAAATTTGATATTTGTTCCTTTGCGAAGAATTTTGTCTCCTACAGTTTAATCAATGTCGTCTTTAACATTTTTCCAATCGAATTATTTTTATTTACCGAATTTTTAATCCAACTACTTCTTAACATGTACCTTTAATTTGTCCAAATGGAAGGAACAGAAGTAATACAGACACGTTTGGCAGAAAATGTTCTCAACTAGAATTTATACCTACTGTTATCGTGAAATAAAAATTCCGATATTCATATTTAAGATAGAAGATAAATAATACAATGAATGACTAAGATTAAAATAATCGGTCCTCGGCATTACGTAATCTGACATAGGGCTAATAAAAAATAAAGTCACGTATACTATTGAATACCTAGAAGCCCGAAGTGAATAGATCGGCCATCTATTTTTGTTAGAGAGTACACCAATCTGTAGACAGAAGACGACATACGACGCTATTAAATCAGATCGCGAATGTTTTGAAAAGATATAGTTGCTAGGAAAAAATATTCGTCACCAACATTATGGAATAATAAATTACACAACTATCGTGAATCTCTTATCGCCTGCATTTTTCACGATGCTATTACTTTAACCCAAAATCGATTTGGACGTTATTTGTCTTCTTTCGACGAAAATAATTCGCATACTATAAAAAAAGAAATGTCACGAACATACACTGCAAAAATATCTGTACCTTTTAGGTTATTAAAATGAACAAAAATTTGTGCGTCGATGGGTAAACAGATTTCTAAACAGCAATTGACGTTACGACGCTAGTGCAATAACTATTAGACAGACTATCGTGTCAAACCTCGGGAAAGTGATACACGTACGTGACACTTGTTGATCGTCTGTGGCGAACAAACCGCCCACTGTGGCTAAAATATACGAGCGATATGAAACAATTACGCACAGCACGTGTAAAGTCAGCCTTGTGCTACATGTAACCCGTGAATGAAAGTAAAAATCGTGGGCACACGTGTTACTCGCCAAGACGATATGCACATGGATGCACATGCTACTCGAGCAACCATAGACACGTTGACTATGAACGAGCTGATCTAAGAGTAACTAGACTTCGTCCTGTTCGAATATTAATTATTGACAACGTCCAAGATCATCGTGAGGTAATTATCAAAGTTCACCGTGCAGGGTAAACGTTACGGAACCGCGCATTCCTGGAGCACGTCGATATCTATCGGACGTTTAGGTGTGAACCGATTTTCAGAGACCAACCGACCGAAGTGATTTTGGAGCGAGAAGTTTCGCTGATAGACCAGCAACGATAGATAAAGGCATCGAGGTTTGTGGCACCACGCTAGTACAGTTCCAATAATACTAGTTCGTGCTGCTATTAGCCTAAATTTTTCGAAACTGGTGTCACCAGGCTCGATCATTCCTGATAATTTATATTTTGCTTTACGACAAGAAAGGAGACACCAACTGGTGATTTAAATTACATATTCTTATAAATTTTTACATATTTTTCTAAATTTTTTTTCCGTATATAGTGTTCTTATTTCCTCTCAGAAATGGTATTCGCTTGCGACACTGAAATTTATTAATTTGATTTGTTAGTGAGACTAATCCAATATGTATGAAAAATAACAAGCAGATAGTAGATATACGAAATATGCGAATTTTTCCAATTTTTCTTTCACATTTATCACGCAAATTGCTTCCAACGTATTCAACTTTTTTAAAATACGAAGTGGAGATATTTTTTCAGGGAGGCAATAGTAGAAAGTAAATTCCATGTAGAACGATATTTTATATTAAAAGTTGCGTGAAACTCGCATGAAATTGGAACGTATCGTCAAAGCTCCACGAGTGAATGGGAGTCCGAAACATGAAAAAATCGCCAACTAGTAACTCTAATTAACCGGTTGAAGAATATGGAATTAGCAGAACGTTATTTTGATGGTATCGATTAATTATAGAAAAGATTGAAATAAAATATCGCCATAAATAGATGATCCCTTTTTACGGAAAATCCAATACCAGCAACAGTTGGTGATACAGTGACACCAGGAACAATAGATATGCATCGACCAAATGATTAATAATATATCTCGCGAATAATTTAAGCAGACAAAGTATCGGAAAATTTTAAGATTCAACTGAGAGGACATACTTTCATCGTTTGTTATCTTGTCATTTATCTACGTGAGATGGAGCACTTCGATAATTACTCTCATCGAGAATTCGTAATGGTTAAATCAAAAACGACGTTAAATTTAAAAAATCAGTGAAAATCGGGAATGTACTCGCATTCTATCTACTCCAATTTCTCCAACTTTCGATCATGGCTAACAACTCTATCTGATCTTGCCTACACGCTTGAAAAACAGAACTATCGACTGGATAATAAATATTCGAGGATAAAATAACTGCAGGAAAATAATTCAAAAAAATCTGGCACGAGGCTAGACTATCGAGAAATAATCTCCGGATGGAGGTAATATATTTCAGCGGAAAATCGGTCGTGTCCCCTAAAACTCGAAATTCGACTGCTCGCAGATAAACGTTTGCTTCAATGATATCGGCCACTCATTTGTCATAATACGGCTAAAGCGAAAGGGCAATTTAGTCGCGTTATCCGCTGTAAAGCGGATTTACATTGAATGCGTGCCCCGGGCGCGCAGAAATATCGGTGAGGTTACATCCGACTCGCAATTGCGAGTGAATACGCGAAAAGATAAAGTTCCAGCCGTTCCCGCGAGCATGTATCGTTTATGGTTTCCATAAACGGAGAAACAAGCAAACAAAACGTGTTCAACAAACTGAACGGTGTTCAACGAGTGGAAAGTTTTTCGCGTATTGTTCGCGTCTCCTCGAACGACCCTCTGCTGAAGTATTAGGGTAGCTCTTTCAAGATCGACGAGTGAAAAATCGCCGATACCTGGGAATTAGGGGTTGGAAAAATGATAACGTATCGTCTGACATAGATGCAAAATCGTTGCCATTCTATTGCAAGCCGTGAAGAAAAATAGACTGCCTCTGTGATAGCAGAAACGTAATACCCCCGGGTAATCTTGCTGCACGCTAAGTTACTTCGAAAGTAACGTGGTAACTCGGAAGGGAGCATCGTGTCATTAAACACGATAATAGTGCTCGAGTGAACAGATTACACGAACAATCTGTATATTTTATTATCAAAATCAACGAATTCCCTGCAAGTTTCGTGAGAACGAAAGGAGAAAAGCTGACGCGATTCAGGTTTTATTCTGTTTAATATCACTGTCGGGATTGAAAATAGGTGTTTGGAAAAACAAATCATTCGAGCGAACGAATTTTTAGAGAAGCCACGACGGATAACTGGATACCGAGCAATTGGAGTGGCCTAATTGCACACAGCTTGGAATTCGCAAAAATAACAAGATCAATTGGTAACCTAATTCCCCGTGTTAACTTACCCCCGGGGTCCTTCCGTGATAATAAACCAAAGAGAAAGATGCATGGTGCAATTAGCACTTTGTGTTTCCACCCCGACAATTATCATGCATGAGCGCGGTACCAATGCATCGCGTAACTTTCTCGGATGATATCATTCACATTTCGCAGAACGGACAACATCAAACGTTGAACTAGGTTAGGAATACTTGGTGATACACGGAAGTTGAATCTGTGTTTAACATTCTAGAATAAACTCGACACCCTTTTCGAAATTCGAATTCAGAGATGGGGGGTGAGTATTTCATTCTACGCTGAGTCATCGTCATAATTATAATTATCGCAATAATATAATTCGCTGTTAATTGTTATTGTGACTCTAAGTAAGATACTATCACGTGCTAGCATTTGGATAAGATTTTCAGTCACCTTTCAATAAGAAACTTGCGCTATCAGATACGGATATCTCATGATTAAAGATGCTTAAGAGAAAATTTCTTCGCTAAATGATGAAAATGCGGAATCATTTATTAAAGCGTGTTAATCCCAGTAGAAGTATCATAGGAAATAGAAATTCGTAGAAATTCGTCTAACTGTACTCTCCATAAGCCACCATTGACTAATTCACGTGTAGCCAAGTCGCGAGTATTATCGGTGTGAATTACAGTAAGTCATATATTTCCCTTAAGATAGATTGCCGTACAACTATTAATAAATACCAGAGACTATTAACCTTTTTAGCTGCCGACACCCGTTATGAGAGATGTATTTGTCTTCACACGTTAATTAGCTACCACTCTCTAAACCAGCGACAAATAAGCTCCTCCGCGTTTTTGCTATCAAAGGCAACGCTACACGATCTTCCCTAATTATCGTGACACACATCGTTCCTATATCTTATAATTTAAAATCACAAAGTAGAACGCAAATTCTCGGATCGAGAATTGAGATTTAAAAATGGAATTTTTTCAGCGAATAATTTCCTAGCCATAGGAAGATCAAAGGTATCCAAATACTTGTTTGTTTTTAACAGAGTGTACTTTAATTGCAATTAAATTCTAAAATTTTTAATAGAATTCTTTCCATTTTTTTCATTTTAATAATCTACTTCGTCCAAGTCTCCAACTAACAATTTCAATTTATAATACATCGATTGCACGAGAAATTAGCGAATATTGCTTTTACAGTCAGAAATTAAACTCGTCGTTTCTCGTCGTTCATATTTTATTATATTTTATTCTTCGCGTATACTTTAATTTCTCATTACGTTATATACCATCCAATCCACCGTTTCAGCAAAATCCTTCAAACACTCGTGCGAGCAAGCTCGCATCTGTGCAAACAAGAACACGGCTACTTAGCAACGATCGCCTCCATCTTCTTCCACATTTGTCAAATAATCCCCAGAAAAATAATACCGACGTGAAACACCGACGATTACATAATCCTTCACTTGCGCGAGGCAAAGATAAATATCGATGAGCCCTCGACCACTCCACGTCCGACATTTTTATTCGATTTCCTGCGATTGTCTCCATAAAAGGAGTCGAAAGAAGCGATTGCAGGGAGAGAGAACCGACCGTAACACTGAACTACTTAGCCTTTGCTGTATATTACGGCGTGCAGACGCCGTGACGTAATGAATTTGCTATCGCGTGTACTCCTGCCCACGTTCGCTGCGGACATCAATTTTTCCCGACAGATAGAACATGCATGAATCGCGAGGAATTCGTTTAATACTCGTCACGAACAGCGTAGATGCACGCAGAGAAATTTATGTGGACTCTGGGTAAAACCCTTGTCCCATCCCTGAGGACTTCCTCGCGAGAGAAATATTTTTCACAGAGAACACTGCGCCGCAGTTTTAGAGAATACGCGAATCCCTCGAATATCGCCGGGAAAAATGAAACACGGTGGAATCGCGATTATCCGAATTAATACAGACATTGGATCTCGGATGAGAGGATTTTCGGATAACGGAACACGCGTTTTTTTCATTTCAATTTTTATACATTTTAACCATTTGTCAATGGAATCATTTTCCGTATAAGTGACCGTTTAAACGAGAGAAAATGTTTCTTTCGTTTTATTTTTTGAGTATTTTAAAGTGGAAGATTAATTTGATTAAAAATATAGGGACCTCGAATTTCCTTGCTTGCTAAATCGCACGAGATTTCTATTATATATAATTGAGGCGAATTACGTTTCTTTTGTGCCTCGTTCCATCTGAACCTCGCTTCTAAATCCCCTTAAATGTTTTAATCCTTAGAGGGTTGGAAAGTCGTTACACTGGCTTGATGTGAAATTTATTTCATTATTCTTTAAATACGTAAAAATCTACGTGAGTGGAAAATGTCACAAATTTCGCATTTCCAAGCATACGAATCACATTTATTGAAAATGTTAAAAATTCGGTTTCAAAGTAATTAGGAACGCATACAAATTGGAAATTTTTATATTTTTTGTTCCCTTGAGAACCATGAAGCCAGTATATTAACTCCATTCATGCTACGAAATTTTTCTACGAAATACCTCACACATGAATATACTGATTATTAGATAAAAAGTATCGATTATATTTCGTAATTTACCAGCCCCTAAATGCTAAAATATTACAGTAGCTTATCGTCATTATTACATCCATATTCTTCCTCGTTACTGGAAGCAGAAATAAAACTACTATGCTAGACTAAACGGATACCAATTTCTACCACAAATTTGTCGCGTACGAACCAATGTGACTAGAAACATTTACGTACAAAAAGTGTTCGAATAATTAAAAATTCGAATAACAGAGCTATTATTATTATAGCCAATGGGAGTTCTACTCTACTGAAATATCGTGTAAATTCTTGGACAAAAACGCTAATGACTTCCAAGAAATGATTGCGATCGAAATAACGAGAGAGTGAATGTAAACGTGGAAAATCAAGTGAAATCACGATGGCTGACGGTTAATTGGTCTCCACGATGGAGATTTCACGCTAATTTCGTTCGAGAATAATAAATTTGCAAAATGTTAATAACCATTTGATATTTTTCATTGTTTTGCAGGCATATCCGCTGTAGTGGTACAGCCCTACAATGACAGAATTAATCCAACTGCCACGAATAAGCCTAGACTCGGTCGACAAAATGGAGGCATAAAGCGGTACGCCTGTCCCATAGGATTCTTCCGATTGAAGAGATATTGCTATTACTTAAGCGGAGGTACCGCACCATGGAGAGAAGCCCATTTTCACTGCAAAGATCGGAACGCCACTTTGGCGATCCTCGACAGGAACGGAAAGGACCGAATGCTGAGGAAATACTTGTCGAGCGATCAATTCAGTAAGTGAATCTCCACTCGGCACGATATTTCGCGATGAAAATTTCAACTCTGGAAACACCGTGGGAAATTTTATTTTTCACTCTTTTCAATCGAGAGCCGGATCGCAGTTACCAATCAATGAAGATTTGAAAGAGTATAGTCGATATTAAATCTAAAATAATATACCGACATGTGAAACATTGGCACAAAACAATTCTTTTCGTTCATTTCTACGTTGCGATTTCGTTTCGTATTATTGCCAAAAATATCGTCGATTTTATATGAACAATCGAGTTTCTACCTCGCTGTAGCGATATGATAAAATTTCGCCTCTTCGTCTTAAGAATTATAAAATACAGGTTTCTAAATTTCGATAATTAATTATCCTGTACACTGGTACGAATTCTCGTGAAATTTGATTTTCTGCAAAAATATTTCAAAGTCCATTATACTGTACTAGATAAAAGGATTGTTAGCTAATTTCACATGTAATTTAGATATATTTAAAAACAACACGAGAACTGGATTTTACCTTGATTCATCCTAAAAACCTATATTATAGAAAATATCGATCACATGGAAAGAAATGGGGATGAATAAAATTTGAATCGATGAAACAGGTTGAAATTTAGGAATAAAATAATAAAATTACATTATTGCAGCGAAATTAGAAAGATGGATTGGCGGAATATTCAACTGGCAGCAGATGGCTTGGGAATGGGGCGTGACCGGCGAGAAAGTAGTGTTCCAAAATTTCGGTGTGCCTCAAACAAACCACTCGAAACAACAATATGCGTGGCACTGCATCACGATCAATCCGACGATGAAGTATAAATGGAGCCCGCAAAGTTGCGTCGAACGAAAACACTACGTGTGCGAGGTACCAGCTGGACGTATGGGTAAAATTCTTTTTCATCGATACTAATTGAAATACCGATCAAGACAGCGTAGAGACAAAGGAATAGAAAGGTTGAAAACTATCATCGAAATAGAAAAATATATACTGGGATCGTTCGATCGTTAGGCATTTTACACCAAAATTGACCAAAAACAATTGATGATTAATTGCTTCGTTTAAATTCTAGTCAGAAGACGTAAAAAGACGACGGATCCGTACGCGCCGCAAAACCAAAGACTAAGGCCCCGGAAGAAGGGCAGAAAATACCCAAAAGAAACGCGAAGGCAAAACAAACAGAATATAGAACGATCTCCGTGGAAATGGAAAATCGCGGAACAAAATACGGACAATTATTGGGTAAACGGTGTTAATTTGGGTTCAAGGCCACCACCCAAGTAAGTCTTACGTGCACGCATTAAAATTCTTTACCAATATGTATGAAAGTACAACTTGTATCCAAATATTAACAAATTATTAAAGAATCGCGAGGTTAAAAATTAATATTCCTAATTACTTTTAATTGAAAATTGAACGAGACTCGAAGTGCATTGGTCCCGTGTATAGTAGTAATGGCAATAAATGATCTGTTATATTTTAGAATGATATTTTATGAGAAAATAGCGACGAATGGATGTAAAAATTTTGTTAATTAATTTTTGCAACTAAAATTATAATTGCAGCGTTAAAAGAATGTATCGAAAGACTCGAATGCGACATCACTCGAACAGAACTCAAGCGAACTACCCGCGAACGGCGCAACACTTGCTTCGAGGACGAGAAAACGATGCACTTCTAGGCGACAATCCCAGTAACGGTCCACAAAGTCTGACAGACATGAGCGATGTCTACCCTCAAGTCCCTGGCAAAATCAACAGCCTGGCGAGCGAAGAAGTTCTGCTAAAGCCATAAACGCTATTTATTTTAACTCTTTATTTGGTAGCTTTAAACATCATCGACCATCATCTCCTTAAGAAGCCAATTCTCTCTTGTCTATCTATCTTCTTCCTACGTTTCACGTCTGTTTATGAATTCGCCGCGTAATCACTGTTTTCATTCGACCAAGTAAAGAGTTATCGTTCTCGTTGCGTATCGATTTTGTGAAAAATAAAGTCGTTCAAATGCCACAGAAGTCATGCACCGACTGAGATTATTTATTCACTTTAGATCGGCGAAACAAGGTCTTCGCATGTTCCTCTCTCTAAATAGACGTTAGACTCTCGAAGATGTATTTGTCTAGTTAGTAACGTTACCTCGAATCGGTAATAATAATAACTTCAATGTTCGTGTATCACGATTATTATTCGAGTTTCATTTTCTCTCCCCTTTTTTAATTTAATTACACGTGCATGAAGCGCGAATGTTTCATTTGCGGATTGTACTCTTCAATGCTAATTTTCGCTTGCCGCTGAGTATCACCGCACTCGTACGAAGGCATTCATACGAAGAAATATGTAACAGATTGCGAAATTATAGGTAAAAAGTAAAATATTTTGCAAATATTTTTAATATGTTTCGAACCACTTTCTTTTTTTTAAGCTTCCTTCGTTTGTCTTGAGAAGGTTAATAAAGAATTATGGAAAAATTGTTTCCTGCGCTCTTTTCTTAAGTTTATTTTTCGCGTATGAAAAATTACACTTAGAGAAATAATTCGTCGAGTATTTCTTGGATGAATGTCTTCGATTTATTTTTACGCGAGGAAGGAATTTCTAATTGTGAATTTTCTTTCCGCTTTAAATCAATGTTTCAAACAGTAATGTAATCATAGTAAATGATGTAACACAAATAGTCACTGCTTAAATATCGATAGTTGTATGTTGATGACTATATCTACATTTTTGGACATACGTCATTACCGATGAACAATACACTGATTGCATATCAATGTTACTCAAAAAATTGAAAAGATATATATATATATTTGATGTTTACCTATATATCATTTAGTACACTATGTCAGTATATCGATATAAATTTCTCAAGACTTTTATTTTTTATGTTTTAATTTAATGATATTGTATAGCTAAGTATGATAGAATAAAACTTTTTTACCGCAGGAACGCTTCAGGATTTAAGTTGATAAGATTATATTTTAATTATAAGCGAAATATTTTGAAAATATTATGTGATGTACTTAACTTATGCATGTTTACATACATCACACTCTTGTTTACATGTTAATCTGTATTTACTTAATGTTATTTAAAAATTATAAAATCTATAGCTCGCAATTAAATTGCATAGTATCTGAACGATTAATGAACTGATATACAAATCTCTAAAATCTACCTTCTGTATTAACATGATGTACATTGTTAATGTACGACGTCAATAAAAATTCTGTCAAATCGTCATCATAAAATAGAACTTTTTATCAGATATTGATAGCAAATACACATTTCCTCTAGACAGGAATTTTCCTAATTAATTTCGAAAAAATGTATACTTCTGATTTACTTATTATTTTCAAAAAACGTGTCTTACGAATTTTTTTGTTAAAATAAATGTTTTCATAACTATGCAAAGTAATTTTTTGCAGAAATTTAATTAACATAATATAACTTCTAAGGAAGTTTCCAAAATATAATTCACTACGTTATCTATTAAACAACTGTTTCAAATTAATAGTTACTCACCTTTATGTAGATGCAGAGAGCATCACCCTTTGGATGTCCATTCGAATCCTTGTATAACTTGATCTTGTCCTTTCCTTTTTCGTCTCTTGCTATGAGACCACACTTGTTGAAAAGTTCCGTAAGTTCTTCCATGGTGATATCTAATGGTAGGCCAGACACATAAATAGCAGTATTATGGGCTTCGTCTACTTCAAACCATGTCGGTGGCTCTTGTGCTCTCTTTTTGGCTTCCATTTTTCTTTTCTCTTTATCACCCTTTGTTTGTGCTTGAGGCTGTTGCACGGGTGCTGGTTCTACCTTATTTGCATCTGTAAATCCATAGTTCATTTGATATCTAGCCATAAAATCCTCATCCACCTGAAAGAAATCATTTGAAAATAGGTTATCGATATTCCATTGTAAATAATAAAATGTTTCTAAATATACTTTTTATTACAAATTTTAAAAATGTATATATAAAAAAACACACCTCACCTTTGGGAACCAGGCACTTTTCTCCTTGTCCCAAAAGTATACGCTGCCATCATTAGGGTCTGTGTATGTATGAGTGTCATTTTCAAAACCAAATATTCCTTCCTGCGGTTTAGTTTCATTGCCAGTTGAATCTTTTCCTGTTGCTTCTTCTGTGTCTTTTACCACCCATTCATTCTTCTCTTGATCAAATTTATATGTTACATTAGATGTAGGATCTTTATATATATAAGATTGGCCATCGAATTTATAACATTTCATAGAATCTTCTGTCTTTTCGGTTTTCGGACAATCAGCCATTTTGATTATCAACAATATTTCATTTGATAAATACTCGATGAAATTTCAGCATAAAATTCAATACCTGTATAACAGAAAATTATAAAAATATGTTAATTAAAATAATAATTGCACTTTGGTTAATTGAATTATCTTTTAGCATATATTGGTTAAATAATATAAATAGCATAGACAAAGAAGAACCACTTGTTAATAGACAACATTTATTTGTTCAACAGATTAAGCGTTTTGCGTGTAACTCACTGCAGTTCATCTAACCTTTCAATTTACCACCGCATGTACTCTGATTACCACGGAATAACATTACGATAAAATTAAATATTATTGTGATTATAAAAAAAATTATAAAAGATTTAAAAATTAAATTTAATCAAATAAAAATTTATAAAATACGACTGACGTAATATAAACTGAATAACTACTCGTATAGGTTACATATACGTACTGGGAAACAATATATTTGTTAGTATAAGACGCAATTTCTATCGTTATGAAATATGCGGATTAAATAATACGAAATTTCATGTACTAATTAGTTAATAACAACATGACTTTCCAAATTATATCAAAACGTTACTTTAGGAAAGTACAAATATTTTAATATAGGTTAGGCGTTCATCATATACGAGGATCAATATCAGTACTAAATATAATGCCTGAAACTTTATTAATTCTTCGCAATAATTTTGATATAAGTAGAACTTACTCTTGTCAAAAAATAGAATCTTTTTAAAAAGAAACAAACAGTAGTTTCTTGAATTTGACAGCAATACTCTATTCAACATGCGTTGAAACCTGTTCGCGATACTAATGCGCTCTGCATGATATTCTAGAATCTCCTACCATATTTATGCCGATAAAGCGTATTTTAATCAATATTTATTTCAAGCTTTTAATTTTGAATGATTTGACCGAATGATTGAATATCTATCTCAGAAACATAAATTTTTTAAGAAATGTTTAATTACTCGAGGAATTCGCTTCTAAAACTTAAAAAATAATTCGAAAATTATTTAATTATTAAATATTCTCCTTTTTATTTCAAAACTTCCTAAACTATTTCCTTTGATATTTAATATCTTAATCAAAGAGAATTAGTTATTAACATATTTTGAGTAATAAATTACTTATAGATTTATAATCGTTTACACTGGTGTAACGAATTTATAAATTATATTATTTTTTTACAATTTAATAGTGACAAAATCAATTTCTTACCTTTAATTTACTTTTCTATAAAATGACTGTAAGAAACAAAATCATTATCTCATTTTCATTCTTATCGCTTAAAACAATCAAGAACATCGCAAAAGGACGTATAATAAAACAACTTACAATTCAAGTCTCGTAATATCGATAAATCGCTCGATAAATCGCTTTACACGATTAGCACGCTTCGTACATCTAACCTCCAAAATCAATCGCGTATCCAGAACCAACTTCATTGCTCTAATTTTTTTCAGAGCTTCCAACTCTATTACTAAAACGTTCAATAAGAATAAAAAAGGAACAAAAACAGTATACCGCTACATCCCTGAAATAAAGAAGATGTATTCATGACCGAATGTCACGAGTGCACTGTTGCAACCACGCGTTGAATATTAGATGACATGCGGAAGTGGCGACATGCGAAGGAACGTGAAGACAACACGATGCGTATTCCTATTAATTTCCACGAGAAAACACACCGGTAGCGAACGATCGCTCCCATTCTTATCGTTGGAACACACACGTCCGGTGTGGTTGCCATTAGAAATTGATTTCCAGTTGCCAGGCAACGTTCAGTTTAAGTTTCCACCATGATAGCCATGCTTGACCGGCAGTTAGTCGGCTGCAAGTTCTGCCGCACAACGTTCAAGCATGGGCCTGACGGACCTCGAAACCATACCTGGTAAAACATTCTACGAAACTGTACACAACACGCATGATTTAATGCACCTGCCTCCCGATTTACGTGTGACCGATACTTAGGCAACTGCACCATTTTTTCCAACGGATGCTGTTCTTGCATATACATGTTGCATGGCGCCGGTAAATCGGCTTGGAATTAAAAGAGATATAAGAAAGTTGAAAAATTTGAGTTTGCAGAGGTATTAATAAGTGTGGAAAGATATAATTGATTTTTTTATTTCGTCTTACAAGCATGGAGTTCAATTTATGTTAAGCTACTCACAAAATGTGATTGGTTTGTGTGAAATAATTTTGTGTAATGTAATATTATTCGTTAAAATTATTTTCTACGTTGTTGTGAGCTTTTTCCATAGTTTAAAATTCTGTCGTTTGGTTTTTAGTTAAATATATCACACATCGGAAAATAATTACGTAGTTACAACGTCATATCGTATACGCTTACTGCAGGAAGTGAAGAATTTAATAAATTTAATTCGATCGTTAGTTAGTGACAAAGATATGTATCAGACACACTAAAAGGCGAATTCTTTTCGTTTATAATTGGAATTACAAATTGCATAAATCATGTATGATATTAGCAGCAAAAGAAGCATTGAACGTTTGTTTCCGATCATATTTGCTTTCCTCTGATCAAATATGTTAACTGCATTACTTTTAATTAATTAATGGTTGCATCGTATTCAATGTTTTATGCAAGAGAAAAACGTTTATTTATTTTGTATAATTTAACGGTATAACAGTTGGTGTGTACGTTCGATATGTCGCAGCATAAAACGACGCGAAACCGTTACACATAAATGTTGAGCATACGCTGAAAAAAAACGATTTATCAGTAATTATATTCTCTACCACTTTTACGGAAATGTGGGTTGCCATGTGCGTAGCAGGAAAATTACTCTTTTGAGTTACAAAATTGTACTTAATTGCGCGAAACTAACTGGACGAATTGTTGCATGGTGAAAAAGGGTTGAAGATGTGTAAGTAGGAGATTTACATACTAATTACCTAACCATTTCAATATCACACTCTTCGAGTATTGATTTCTTTTTTCCACTAAAGATTTGTGCATTGCTATTGCGATATATTTTTTAAAATAATATTTTTTTATACTATTTTTCATATTTTTCATTTGAATATTAGCTTCCTTTCACAATTACGTCTGCCTGTTATTCATACACATATATGGGGCTCTTAATAAAAGTTAATCTATCGACTTCATGATACATGATAAACGATTCCTCCAATATCACGATGCATTGTACCGAAAAATCGAAATTACTCGATATTCGCAATTCTGCATTTCATTCTCCAACACTTTAAAATACAAGAGTCGCACCGAATATACGAAGTAAGCTTTAAATAAAATTTAGAAAGAAAATAATGTTTTCTTTAAACGCAAAACGTCGTATACGTTTAATAGAAGTACAGGAGGTTAGCATAAAATCAAAGTTTCCTGAAGAGAAATATCTCTACTAAATCCAGCTGCATTCGCCTCTAAGAAAGGAATGACATATTTTCCGCGACAGTTTCAAAGAGAGACTTCTATGTATAGCTTCGTATATTCTCGCCTCGTAGTTCTGGATTCTTGCTTTATAGTTCGTCACGGTACTCTAATTATAGAAAATTTCCTATCCGTTAGACGAGAGAATTAACTGAAGGATAAATGGAGGATTTGCCGCTGGCAGGAAACCGCA